ACCTCTCCCTATACAACCAAGCATTCTGCTAGCATTTCCTGCTGCTCTATTACATTGTCTGCCTACCTTCTGAAATAATTACCCCTAAATCCCTTTCCTCAGATGTTGAGGTTAGGACTCTATCAAATATTCTATACTTTGCCCTTGGGTTTTTACATCCAAGATGCATTATCTTGCACTTATCCACATTAAATGTCAGTTGGCACATCTCTGACAATTTTTCTAGTTTACTTAAATCATTTGCCATTTGGCTTATCCCTCCTGGAACATCAACCCTGTTGCAAATCTTAGTATCATCAGCAAAAAGACATACCTTACCATCAAGACCTTCTGCAATATCACTAATAAAAATATTAAAGAGAATGGGTCCAAGTACAGATCCCTGAGGTACCCCACTGGTGACAAGTCCAAGCTTCGAATATATATTCCATTAACTACAACCCTCTGTTGCCTGTCACTCAGCCACTGCCTTACCCATTCAACAATATTGGAATCCAAACTTAAAAATTGCAGTTTATTGATCAGCCTTCTATGTGCAACAGTGTCAAAAACCTTACTGAAATCTATGTAAGCAATGTCTACTGCACCACCCTGATCTATAATTTTAGTTACCCAATCAAAAAAATCAATAAGATTAGTTTGGCATGATCTCCCTGAAGTAAACCCATGTTGTCTCTAATCTTGAAATCCATGTGTTTTTAGATGTTCAACAATCCTATCCTTTAACATGGTTCAGATACACCCCAGAGGGAAGGGACAACCCTGATTTGTTCCCATTCTGTGAGTTCTTTCTCACCCCTCCCTGCTTTTACTCAAGTTGTGTATAATGTACTATACAATGTAGAGTCTGTATTCTTCTTCCAGACTCTGGTTCGTATTTTGTCATATACAATTCCCACCTACCTCTACAACAGGTTGTATTGTTTACATATTTTTCACAGCACTTTATATAATTTGATATTTTGGCTGTTTAATTGTTTGGTATCCCCTTCATGTTCCTATATATTTCTTTGTTTAAGGACTTCTTCCCTGTATGTGATATAGTATTGAACAACTATTCCTCCACCCTTGACCACCCCTCTAATCCCAAAAGTGATGTCTTTTTTTTTGTGTAGTCTCTCTTTGCTCTTTGTACTGATTTCAAAAATATTTTGATAGTAAACAAACAAAATTTTTGTCGAAATCGGTGTTTCATCTATGTCTCCAGGAGATTTATCCTTGAAAAAAAATCTTTAAATCATAATAACCTTCTAAATTTACATAACTTCACTTCCCATTCAAGTGGGTCTGGTTGCACAGTAGGTATGTATGATAATCCTCGGATCAATCATTTCAATTCTTCTTTATCAAGGTTCCTTGAGGAAAAATTGAATGCACGCATCATTTCCTGTGTCTGGGTCGTCAACCTCGTGCCCCAGTATACTTTGCCTTTCTGCCCTCTCTTAGTGGCATGTCTCCATCTGCCTGTTCTCATCATCTTTGGAATTTGATCTGGGTTCCTGATCTAGATGGTCTGCCCTGACATAAACAGTGTTTCTAGGAGATTCTGTAGATGTAGAGTCTGATGTTGTTGGCTGATCTGTTAAGACCTTATCTGAAGAGAGAATAAAAGTTAAGTTTTATTTTTATAAGAAATCCAAGAGTGCTATCCTTTTTTTTATTTTCTTGCTGGATTAATGGAACACTGTAGGCACTTAAACAACTTCGTCTTGGTTAAGTTGTTATGGAGCCTGCAGTCCTTCTCCCTTCCTTACCGCATTTTACTCCCCAAAACTCTTTATTTCTCTGTCTAGAAGGCTTGGAATCTTACTTTCATGGCTCTCATAACGTGACATTACATGGTGACATCTTGGTCGGCCATAGCGAATCATAGACTGCATCACCCATGCCCCTAATGTCCCCAATGCTCCTCTATGAGCCGCATTGGATTGGACCATCATCCTGGAGACATTGTCACTCGAGGAGGAGGTTGCAAAAGCGCTGAGGGAGACATGACACTGCAGAAAAGGTAAGTTATTTTTTTGTTTTCATTTATTTTGTTTTGTTTTTTATTTTAATGCTTAGGGGGTCAGTAACTAAACTACCACATCAGGACTGTAGTGTTAGAAACAAAGAGATGTATTCCTAATGCTACAGTATTCCATTAAGCACCAGAAATCAAGCAAATCCTTGAGTGCAATTGTTGTTGTTTTTTATATATATATATATATATAGAGAGAGAGAGAGAGAGAGAGAGAGAAAGAGAGAGAGAGGGAGGGAGAACATTAACTTGCATTAACGTAAGAAAGATGATTTTATATATATATATATATATATATATATATATATATATTAGCAATGTGGATATATATATATTATATATAATGCAGTTTGTATACATTGATTGAAAAATATTAACGTAGGAAAGATAATTTTTATATAAATATATATATATATATATATAGTTAATTGAGTTTGTATACATTGAAAAATATTAATGTATGTAAGATAATTTTTATATATATAAATATATATATATATAAACATTATCTTTCATACGTTAATATATATAGTTAATGGAGTTTCTATGCATTGATTGAATAACATTAGCATACATTAACATAAGAAAGCTTATTCTCTGATTTCATGATGGATTTTGTTTGTATATGACACTAATGATTTATAAATTTTAACTGTACTCCAACTTGTCATTATTATGTCAGACTAATCAGTGTAGTTAACTACTTACATGAGCGGAAACAAGAACTTGTCACTTTGTGTTACTAACCATCTAAAGCACAATAAAGGCTGCTTGTTACATTGTGGATTCTATGGAAGTTTGATCACATTGATGGAGGGATGAGACATCAATCTCCTGCAAAGACACAGAGTGGTATTGGCCGTAACACATTATTCTGTCAGGGGTTTGGCGTTTCAATCGATGGGAAATGATGTGTGATCATTTTAATTTATTATACTTCATTTTCCATCAATCAGCAAACTAAGACTTTGACATAATAAGTAGTTTCAGCCATTGCCAATCACTCTTGGTCAGGTTTAAAATCCCCCTAAGTTGCCTCCTTACAACCCCTTAGGAATTCATCCAAATGACAGAATATACTAAATCATAAAATAGCAAAGTCTTCAGAATGAATTTGATGAAAAGCAATTCAGAGGTTATGCAAGGGAATTTGTTTAAATGCAATTATTTCTAAATATCAGTAGTACTAGGAGTAGGAAAATAAATGATGCCGGGTAACTTCCCAACCTACGGTACCAGAATTCACTGCCTCCTACTCCGCTGTGTATCTCTTTTTGCATGGGAAGAGTTCTGGAGTAGTTACTTTGCAATCCACTTTGAATGAGATATGAGATCTTTATTATAACCAGTTTGCAGTTATACTTGTTTTACATTGAATTCTGCACTATAGCTAGAACTGTATAGGAAACAGGATGAACGATGATTCCTCCTCCCTCGCTTTATTGTACAGGAATAACATGGAAGAATGTCAGTGACAGGGGAGAGGATTACTAAACCATCAAGCTCCTTAGAACTCAAGACATGTCATACATGCAACTTACAAACTTTGCATTTACTACACTGATTACCGGAGTGGGAGTTAGACAGTTTTGTGTAAACGTTTCACATCACGTTGCTTATTTACCAAGAACTTGCTTTGGTTAAATGAGGGATTACAAACAAATCATGCATCCGGCTTGATGCATCCATTCATGTACTTGTATACCTTAATGAAAAACAATCAGCAGTGTTTGTAATAGCACATATTTATCAGATTGCCCTGTCTATTATTGATTTCTAACTCCAGCCTTCTGCATTGCCATGAACAAGGCCACTCCATTCGTGCACATATACTGCTTCAGTGGATGAAAGAGTTATGAAATGTTTTCCATTTTTTCACTAGACGTAACATAAAGATATAAACTCCCTCTTAACATCACTCATACCTATTCTAGTATAAAAGCTGACACCACCAACCAGGACGATTTGAAAACGGGGAGTCCTTGGTTACATCAACCAAATTAAATTAAAAAGCCACCAAACACAATGTAGCAAGAATCTCTATCAAACCATAGTACTATGAATACGATTTGGTAATGTCATTCTTATACCAGACAAAGGCAACACTTAATAAAGGAACATTCATTATGAACAAAAAAAGATTCACAGGGCATACAAATGAAACTATATTACAAACAAATTACACCAGACAGACCAAATAAAGTGGAAGACGAAAAACCTTAATACTCACAGTACTTGCGAAGTACAGTCTGTTTCAAGAGAGTTTTTAGATTTCATCAGAGATTATATGCACTTGTTAGGTTTGTCTAAGTTTCAATGTGAAAAGGTGATGTAGGGAAGCAGCGCCTCGGGTAATGTCCTCAAATCCAATTTAGTATGGGGTGATATGAAATGATAAGAAGACAATAAAACAAAATCTAGTGCAGCATTTTCATTGCTGGTGATATTAGATGAAAAGAAAGAAATACACTTACAATTTCCTGGAGCTTAAAATCAGCTCCAGATGTATTCACTTGGATGGTATGATCCCCATCTGTGGATATGTTGGTATAGGTCCTGGTCCTCAGTTAGGAGATATCCTCAAGCATGTGAGCGGTGGGCAGCAATTACAAATTGCTGGAGGTGTTTTCTTTCAGTGTGTTGTATTTCAGCAGCAGAGGCACACCAGAAGAGATATAAAGATATATAAAAAAAATAAAATAGTGCTCTCTATATAGATAAATAGAAAATAAAAAGGATAAAAAGAGGTATACTCACAAAAGGAGAGCAAAGTGAAGTTTTATCTCCCCTACCTGGGAAATTGAAGTATGGGATCCACCAGGTAAAATCTTCGGAGATAAATTATGAAGGTCCAAATAAAGTAAAAACTAGTTTTATTAGTAAACAAAATAATAAAGTCAATAATATAATGAGGACGGAGCTTAACCACCAAATGGTCGCCATTCACCATGACCCCCAAAACTCGATGGTCAATCCGTAGGCCTACCTCCCGTTCTGCACTTACCACCTGCGTTCTTTCCGGGCTCGACAGCAGGCGGACCCACAGCGACCCCCTGACACTAACATGGGGAGATGCACACAGAAGCCACAGGCTGGTACAGCCAGGGATTTCCGAGATATATGGGCTCTGCTGCAACGCACCGCAAGCCACATGCTCGGAGCAGCAGTCAGAGGAACACAGGGCAGAGCTACGATCTAAGTCACCCAGCAGCCAGCAAGCCGAAGGGGAAGGCTCGGCCCCAGCCCCAAAAAAGGATATCAGGCAATTACTGCAGGAAATGAAGCAGATGTTTGATTCTGACATAAACCTGGTAAGAACAGAAACGCAAGTAGTGACAGCACGAGTGCAGGCCTCTGAAGAGGATATTTTAGACCTCAGACAAGAAGTGAAAAGCATGGGGGAAACCCTGTGACACTTACAGTCTGCAAACATAGTCTTTCAAAACACACTAGACACCATGGAAGACCGCAGTAGGTGCATGAACATCAAAATTCAGGGAATCCAAGGCCAACCGAATTGCCACAGTTCCTAAGACGGCTTACAGCAGTACTCCTGCCACACACCCAGGCTAAGAAGCTTGAGTTAGATGGCCACTTATGCATAAACAAGACCAAACAGGCATCTAAAATGGCACCAAGAGACATCATAGTCCGCTGCCACTGCATGTTCGACAAACGCCGCATTCTGGCAGCGGTATGGGGCAAGACACTATTAGACTTTGAATCATCGCAACTCACCTTTTTCTAAGACATCACTCGGAACACTCTACTTTACTTTGGAGAAAGTCCTTGGTAGAAGTGGCTGCATGACTGAGAGAAGGTGGAGTACAGATAGTTACTACCAAGAACCTTGGCAGTTTTCTGAGGAGACGACGTCCTGAAACTCTCCACTGCACCAGAGGCCCCCGGTCTTCCTCCAAAAATTGGGACTATCACTGAACACCCCAACACCAGAGATACCATCAACCTCCAATGAATGGAATTCAGAAAGAACTGTTCCATTTATCCCCAGGAGTAATAGGAAGCAGGAGGCAGTGACCTGAACATAATGCATACTATCTGCTTCCATGTTGTTATATTCTCCTCTCTAAGCTAACCCTGTTGTTCTCTTTACTACAAGTTTGGCTACTGTTTCCCCTTGCTGCTAAGTGCTAAGACCCCTTAAATGGGCCGTGACAAAATCCCCCCCTTGAACCCCAGGGTTAGGGTTCGACACTACACCACTCGTCATTCCATGCACTGCATGCCTGTCACACAACCTCTGCTAATGCTCTAGCAACGACCCTAAGCCTCAAAAGTGGCACGAAAGCCATCTTCTAACAGGATGACCGACAAAGCCTATCTACCACTCTAAGCACCCCCCACCCCAATCATCAGAGGGGTGTGACGCACAATAACTGTCAGGAACACAAAACCAAACACACACTTGCCTTACATATTACAACCTAGATCCACCCATGGACACCCATAGCACGGGCAGACTGGCCTCGCTTGAAATAGAAAAAAAAGTGCACACTGTTTTATCCCCGACTGTAATATTACATTCTGTTTCTTTCTGACATAGAGCATTCAACCTAGCAGCTGGACAATAATACCCTGCTTGTTACCTATTACTTAGCTCTACTCTTTATTAATATGTACAATGTGTAAACAAGCCATGACCTATGCAACTGTAAATGCCTTTGATCGTCCAGGTTATGCTGTTGTAGCATCCCAAGTTTGCATGTTCCAACCTAAATGCACTGAAAAATAAAGAATGTATTTAAAAAAAAAAATCTATAATATAATATAAACACTAATAAAACACTAACACATTTCTCCAACTACCAGGCTTTCTCAAAGTGTGAACACTGAACATAGTGAACACTTTGAGAAAGCCTAGTTCTTGATGACATTACCCGAAATGCAGCTTCCCTACTTCACCTTTTCACATTTATCTACAGCCAGAAGGAAGAGACTCTGGTTTGGGCATTCCGAGCAGCCATTGCACAAGTGCTAGAAATTTCTTGTATCCATGTGTCTCAAGTTCAAGGCTTGCACTCCTAAGGATGGATAGGGGGTGCAGGAATCCAGTTTTATGAGGGGCACTTAATGTATTCTAAAACTGGCTGAAAATGTACAATGCAATATTTATGTAACCAGCTCAGATCATCATGGCGAATCCAAACAATTAATTAATGTTTAATGCCCCATAATACTATGACATCTGGAAACAATCACCGATCTTTAAGTGAATTAGTTTAAATGAACTTACAATATAAATTGTTTCACAAGTTCCGTCTCACTGCTTGGATCATAACTGATAAATGCCCTAGTAATAAAGAGCACCGAACCTTAAAACCAGTTACTTAAACTAGTTAAACTGAAAGAAAGCCTCGGCACACTGCAAGCTGGTATAATCATGATTTATCCAGCCATCAAAATAGGAAAAGTTTCGACTCGCTAACTCTATTAAAACAGAAAACAACTTCCTCTTGCCAAGCCTGGGTTAGTGATTTTAGTGTCAGACTAGGTTTGGCTTGCTGCTGTATCTAGCTAGATAGTGTCAGGAATGGGTATGAACCAGAACACACAAATCTAGTACACAACAAAAGATAATCCGTATACCAGTTTTTAGAATGGTTGGGGTTAACAGAATACAGAGTAAAGGATAAAGCCATGGCCGAGGACAGGAGAATTTAAGCAAATCAGCATACTAGGTAAGTTAATGGAGTACAGAGTGTTGAATAAATGATAAACAAAGCCAAAGGTCAAATACAAGAATTACAAGAGAATACATAAAATCACAAATGCCCTGTTGGGCAGCCAACAACAGGGCAACAATAAGTGAGACAGGCAAGTTTATGTAGGTAGGACTTGTTTCCTATTGGCTAATGTAATCTGCAAATTATGCATGGGCAGTAAAAAAAGCTTATCAGCCAAGGTCCTTAATTTCCTCAGAGTGCACCTGATTCGGTCCGGCAAATGCTTCATTTGGAGGCAAACACAGACACGAATTTGGGCACAAAAAAAAGGACCAACACTCAGAGCATGCGGCATTTAAGAGAATTCCAAGGGAGTGACATAAGCTTGAGTGGGAGATTTAATTTTTTTTTCATTGATCCTTGTGTGAGACTACATTACCAGCATACAGTTGTTAAAAGATTTTTTATTTTTTTTTACTTTTTGGAAAGAAAATCCTGTGTTATTTATATTTTTCTGAGCTTCTTCAGTCCAGTGTGTGCTGAGCAAATATGCATTACTGTGCAGTAAATCCACCAAGCCCAACCTGGTGAAGCTATGAAGAGATGCTGATCGGCCAGTGTGGCCTACAGGAAAGCATTGAAATGGCTGAGATCATCAATTCTGATGATGTCAGCCAAGGAGGTGGATCAGGCGGGCCAGCACCGGCAGACCCAAGTGGCACTGGGGTAAAGGTGAGGTTTTACTCTATTTAAAAGGGCAAGTGGGAGGGGGGTGGCAATCTAACCATTGTTTTAACACTATATAGCCAGGAAAACACTATAGTGTAACACCAGGTTGACCTACCTTTTTTTGGTGGTCCTTCCCCCTTTCCAGATGAGACCAATTATTTGGAACATCACAAGTGGCACAAGTGGCACAAATGGCATCCCAAAGATGTCCCAATATACCATCCCACCATTCATCCTAATTGTATTTATCCCAATATTGGGAGGTATGTGAATGTTTTCAGATACATCATGATGCACAATTAATGCTACAGTCATGATGACAGCATTCAGCATCAATTTATCTGTCCACATTCCTTCAATAGAACCCAAATATACAGATTAAAAGTCCTGCAATGGCATGTAACCCCTATAGTAACTCACCCAGACAAGGTGACTTTACTTGTAGCATATTCCTCCATATGTTAGCTTGCAGTAAAGATTAAGTGATCACAGACAACATAAATGTGAAGTTAAAAAACAAAGTTCTTCAGAATTATAAGGAGTTAGTTTCAGAATTTAAGACAAGAGATGGTGGAAGACTTAGATTTAGAAATGGGGCAGTCAAGCATTACAAACAGAGATGCAGTGCAGTACACTTTCCCCATGAAAGGATGCTCTTTCATGGGGAAAATGTTTGCAGAGTACTATGGGAGATGTAGTTCACAGTAAATGATAAGGCAGAGCTGCCTATTCAAGATTCTCTGTAGTGTTTCCTGTTTAATGAAGGAATGCATAACCCTTAGGTTCAGAAATGGAAAGAAACCAACACATTGACTGAGAGGGTTTAACATAGAAATGAAATAGAGGGACCTGCAGGGTTGTTCACTAAACTCTGAAATGAGACAGGCAATATTTTGGTTTAAATAAACAATCAATTTTTTTAAATCAATATATATTTTGTATAGATTTTATCTATATATATTTTGTATATATTGTTTTATTTATATAGTACAGTTGTAAGCAAACTTATTCAACCGCAATTGCAAATCAGATTTTTTGTCTAAATTTACAAACAAATCAAACAAAAGCAATTGAAATAGTTCAACACAACAAATGCTTCAAGTGCGGTTTTCCCAAAATCAACCAAAAATTCTAATTATAATGATATTTTCAGTCTCAAAATGAGTCAACCCCTTCATGGAAAACATCTTTAGTACTTAGTAGAGCACCCTTATGCTGTTATGGCCTGCTGCAAATGAGTTGCATAGCCAGACACCAGCTTCTGGCAGTGTTCCTAAGGAATCTTAGCCCATTGCTTATGAACAATGGCCTCCAGTTCAGTAATATTCTGCAGTTCACGTGCTGCAACCACCTTCTTCAAATCCCATCAGAGATTTTCTATGGGGTTCAAGTCAGGTGACTGTGAATTTTACAGGACTTCTGCAACCAAGCCTTGATGGAATTTGAGGTATGTTTGGGATCATTGTCTTGTTGGAAATCCAATGACGCACAAGCTTCAGCTACCTCACACACTGCATGACGTTTCTCATAGGATTTCCTGATACTCCCAATGAATCAATCTTGTGTTCTACACACTGCAGGTTTTCAGTGCCAGAGAAGGTAAAGCAGCCCCAGATCAACACTGAGTCACCGCCATGCTTAACTGTAGGCAGAGTGCTCTTTTCAGCATATGCTTTATTCTTCTTCCTCCAGACATACTGCTGATCCATTGGGCCAAAAAGTTCCAGTTTTGTTTCATCGCTCAACAGAACAG